CGGGAAAAAAAAAAAAAAAAAAAAAAAAAAAAAAAAAAAAAAAAAAAGTGTGGTGGTGCCTCCGGGTCCAGGAGACCCCAGGTGAAGTCCAGGTGGGGGGGGCGAGGGCTCTAGGAGCCCGTTTCTGGACTGAGGTAAGGGACTTTTTCCTGGCCTGTCCCGTCGGGTGGGGGAGGTTATTTTTGGGGAAAGAAAATGAAGCCGCTCTGTAAGTGATTTAACTTTCACCTCAGGAAATCTTGTCCTAAAGAGAATTCCAAGGGCCTAGGTTGCATGAGGGGGACGCTGCAAAAAAACCGCAAAGGACTCGGTCCTGCTGGAGCCCGGGTCCGGCCCCAGCTGTTCCCTGAGGAGCAGTTTCCCTTCGCGGAGCCGGAGGGGTGTCGAGCGCGGGGGTCGTCGTGCGCATGCGCGGCGTCTCGCCACGCCTGGGGCCGCACGCGATCGTCATGATGTGCCTCCGGCTGGGACTGGCTGTAGATACCTGTCAGTTACCCCCGGGGACCAATGGGAGGGGCGAACGGGACCGCCTGCTCCGCCCACTACCTCGCCGCGCTGAGGACACTGAAGGCCTCGCGCCAGCTGTGGCTACTTTTGCGAATTTACAAATCGTGTTTTTCGCCCGCGCGTGGCCGGAGTTATCCGCCCGGTTGGAGCCCTAGGCCCCCCCGCGCTGGCGCCGCCTGGAGGCCGGATCAAGCCCTGCAGCTAAGGACGCCTCCGGTTCGCTGCCTTTAGGCGTTCATGCCTTCCTTCTTCGGGAAACCGCTAAGAACAACTTGAAGAACCCTGGGATTGTTTCTACTTTGTGACCTGACAAGTCAAAGCTCTGCCCTAAGTGGTTTTCCTCATGTTAAAAAAGAAAAAGGGGGTTGTTTGAGAGGCTCACGTACGACAATGTCTAAAAACTTTCTAAAGGAGAAAGCATGGTGGCTGTGACGTGGTTTCCTCCAAACTCAGGCGTAGGCTCTTCCTCACTTGTGACCTCCCACTGAGTAATGTTTCCCCTGGATCCTCACAACCTTCACTTACAGATTCTGCCCTCCAGGTTTTGAAATGCCTTTTGGACACTGCGCACCCCTCAGCCTGCCGGCCACACTGCCCTCCAGAGCCTGCGCTGCGTGGAGCTCGTGGCACCGGCTCGGAGGTTGCAGAGGGCCTCTAGGTCTGTTTCCCTTCGTTAGGTGCCTTCCTGAAACCAAGATGCTTAGAAACCACTGCTAGCTTCCCGGATGGTGGAGGACCCAGGACGGGGTGGAGAATCCCCCAGTCACCCGGCTTCATTATCCTCTTCAAACCAAGGTGTTCAGCCGGCTGAGGGCCCCGTGGGTGAGCCTGGACCTACGAACCAGGAGGTCCCTGGTCAGGGCGGCTGCTGCTCCGCTGGCGGCGGGTAAGAGGCAGCCGGTCAATGATTCTCTCTCATCATTGATGTTTCTACCTCCCTCTCCCTCTCCCTTCCTCTCTGAGATAAATAAAAATATATTTTTTAAAAACCCAAGGTGTTAAAGCCAGATCAAAGAAAAAAAATTTAAGGCTGCATGCACCCCTTTCACACGCCTCTGAGGGACAGGGAAAGGGGTATAAGTGATCCTTAGTTTAAATACAGACCCAAAAGAGAAGCACAAGAGAAACTGAACCTGTGCCTGCAGGCAGCAGCCATTTACAGGTTGAAGTCCTGGTTTCAGTTTAGTTGTGAAGGGCGGTCACTTATCTATAAAGCATGGAGACTTCTCTGGGGGTGCAGAACCTTCTAAGAGCGAGTGAAAGCAACTATGTTGCAGTGAGAGCAACAGTCCTTGGGCTCCGCCAGTTAATATTTTTGTGTGTGACCTTGGTAATGCAACTGCCATATCTAAGCCTCAATTTCTTTTGTAAAGTATGGAAAGAACATATGGCAATGGGTTTGTAAAGCAGCATATAAATATATGGGTTTAAATTAAGTGCTCTGTGGGAAATGGGTATTTGCCCCAAATAGACTACTACCAAGTATGCAATTCATTAATACTCATGATATACCTCATCCTGACAGACAGTGTGAATAATAAATTAAGGGGATGAATTCAAAGAAAGTAGTATCACTGACAATAGAGGGATAGACATGACCCCAATTAAGGAATCGGCTGACAGTCTTTTTTAAAAATTAGGATATCAGCTCAAACTTTGTCTTTAGAAAAACTAGAATGTGCCAGAAGGAGGATGAAGTTGTCATCCTGAGGGATTACTAAGCTGATTTCTCAGAGGTATCCTGGGAGGTTATGGAGAAACCAGGGCCCCAGTAGGCAGAGTTCATCAGCTTGTGGAAGGCTTTGGGGACCT